ATTTATAAGGTTTATTGTGAAAGGTGGGTAGATGTAGAACTTGTGATTCCATCTACCTGCCTTGGGCCTCCACTCGCAGCAACCTCCTCGTGGTGAGGCCTGGGAATCGGTATTATCATCGGTAAAATACTGTAAACTGATGACAATATCGAGCTAATGGCTGCGAACTTCGAATCTATCTCATAAAATAACGTTCTATATTACATCGAACTAGGATTATTTTAGAAATCGATATGAGATTCAGTGTTCTAAAAATGTCTAGAACTTTGAATGTTATAGAAAATTTTTTAGTGGATCTTGTAATGAAGCTTTATAAATGAATAACTTGTATTTTATCATAAATTATTAAACAACAACCCCGTCTTAGTATTTATGAGAAATATGAAATATTAATTATTTTATTTAAATGATTTTAATTATGTTTTATGCGTAAGTTCAGGACAGAACTGCCCTAGACGTGTGGCGCGAGAAAATTTTTGAATTTGTATTTTCATGAACGAAGTTAGAAACTGGTACTTCTGAGAACAGGCATCATTTTTTTTCGTCACGCATTAAATTCGAAGTTTAAAGAACGTAGAATAATACTCTCTAACGGCTGGGAACCAGTAATTACAAGAACATTGTTAAAATCACATTTATTTGCAACGGTTGACACTGTATCTCGTCATGCGTACCCCGTTCAGTACACTTTGGATAGCTCTTACACCGTTATATGGATGGCTTTCGTCTAAATAAAGCACTCGATTTGTAGCTGAAAGAACGTAGATTAATGCCCTGCCACTGACAATAACAATAAACGACCAGAACACTGTTAAAATCGAATTTAATCGCGGAATACCACTAATTTTTTGACCGGTGGCGCCACCCGTGGCGTTTCGCTCAAACTGCTAGCCAAATCATACCGATAGGTAAGTGAAAATTTCTAGTGATGGAAAAATGCGAATATCTCAGTAATTAAGCGCTTAAAATGAACGTCATTAGTCTGAAATTGTTCCTCAGGATGCATGCATGGACCCAATAGTGCAGAACCCCTGAATTAGTCAAATTAGTTATGCCTATATTACCGTAGCCCCTTATGGGGCGGCAACCCTAATTGCAAAAGATTTCGATCGCATTTACATCGCTAAACAGGCATGATTCTTCTTCGTTTTGCATTAGATACAACGTTTAAAGAACGTAGATTACTATTCTCTGACGGCTGGACACCAGTAATTATAAGAACATTGTTAAAATAGCATTTGTTTGCAACGGTTGACACTGTATCTTGTCATGCGAACCCCGTTTAGTTCACTTTGGACAGCTCTTACAACGTTATACGGATAGCTTTCGTCTAGATAAAGCACACGATTTGTAGCTGAAAGAACGTAGATTACTGCTTTGCCATTGACAATAACAATAAACAATCAGAACACTGTCAAAATCTCATTTAATCGTGGAATACCACTATTTTTCGACTGGTGGCGCCACCCGTGGCAAAATGCTGAAACTCCTGGCCAAATCATACCGACAGGTGAGTGAAAATTTCTAGTGATAGAAAAATGCGAATATCTCAGTAAATAGGCGCTTAAAATGGACACAGTTTGTCTCAAATTACTCCTGATGTCCCAGTGCATCGACTCTATACCGTAGCACCCCATAATTGGAAGAATTATTTCTGTTAACACTGCATATGTACTATCAACACTGGTAGAAATAATTCCTCTAATTATGGAGTTCTGCTGCATTCGGTCGACGCATTGAATAGTGGGAAATAATTTAAGACTATCAACGTTAACTTTGAGCGTCTAATTACTGAGATATTCGCATTTTTCCATCACTAGGAATTTTCACTCACCTGTCGGTATGATTTGGCTAGGAGTTTCAGCAATTTGCCACGGGTGGCACCACCGGTCGAAAATATAGGGGTATTCCGCGATTAAATTCGATTTTAACAGTGTTCTGGTCGTTTATTGTTATTGTCAATGGCAGGGCATTAATCTACGTTCTTTCAGCTACAAATCGAGTGCTTTATCTAGACGAAAGCTATCCGTATAACAGTGTAAGAGCTATCCGAAGTGTACTAAACGGGGTACGCATGACGAGATACAGTGTCAACCGTTGCAAATAAAAGCGATTTTAACAATGTTCTTGTAATTACTGGTTTCCAGTAGCTAGAGAGAACTGATCTGCGTTGTTCAAACTTCGAATTAAATGCGTGACGAGTAAAAATGATGCCCGTTCAGCGCTGTAAATTCGATCGAAATCTTTTTGCAATTAGGGTTGCCGTCCCATAAGGGGCTTCAGTAATACATACAGGCATAACTAATTTTACTAATCCAGGGGTTTTGCACTATTGGGTCCATGCAGTAAGTCCTGAGGAACAATTTGAGACTAATGACGTTCATTTCAAGCGCCTAATTACTAAGATATTCGCGTTTTTCAGGAAAGAGGGATCATAAAACTCCCGGAACATACGTAACAGACACCGTGTCCACGAGACAGTGGGGTCATAGAGCCCCCGAAGCATTCGTAAAAGACCCCGTGTGGGTGCGATTATCTCACAAGCAAACTCCTTTCCTTACCTTGCTGACATTTATGCGTTTGAGTGTTGAGCGCGATACAAATATTCAATTTGAACGCCTGAACGTAACGCATGAAATATTACATAATATTTAAATAACAATAACGCTTGTATGAATAACTAATAAAATTGAATTAAGGGGACATTGGTGAAAATATACAATGAAAAGACACGATGAAGATCTATATGTAGTAGAGATTTTCGATTTGTATCACATGTATAGACATAGGCGGAAATAAAATATCACTACCGGTTATCTCGGTTTTGTGTAATAATCGTAAGTTCCGTGTAACTTGATTTGCAATGACTGCGTTAGGCGGTTTTATGGAATTCTTTCAAAAAGGAAAGGTAATTTTCGCCAAATAATATCTTCAGTCGCATTATAACTGATATTCTAACCTGTGGTACAGTGTTATTGATTACTTTCATGTTTAAATATAAAGCGTCAGACTTACTATTCGCAAAAAATTCTTGTTTTGAGTTAAAGGAAATGTTAATATTGAATTATGTGTATTAAATAATAATAGAATAAATAAATATCTTTCTTTATTTTAAACTATTATGTAGATGTATCCGTGAAATTTCTTTCACAGATGTATTCTTAAAATTTATTTTTGACATTTTAGACATTCAGGCCTAAGAAGAAATTTGCTCTTGGAACATTGCGGTATTCTCTCCATAAGCAAGCACAAGCTTCACTTAATTCTGGAATTAATTTAAGGTCTGTTGTAAAATTGCCTCCTGGAGAAGGTCTGAATGATTGGATAGCTGTTCATGGTATTTTCAGATTTCATTAAAGAGAATTTGATCATTTCAATGATAATCCTGTGCAGAGTTCATATTTAGCAGATTTTCATACTTATTACTATAATTTCAGTGGTAGACTTTTTTAACAGAATAAATCTGATATACGGTACCATTTCCGAGTATTGTGATTCTGCGTCTTGTCCAACTATGAGTGGAGGAGCTCGATTTGAATATTTATGGGCAGATGGTGAAAAATATAAGAAGCCTACTGCATTACCAGCACCACAGTATGTTACACTTCTTATGGATTGGATAGAAGCACAAATTAACAATGAATGCATATTTCCAGTTTCAACAGGTATCAAACTTTAAAAATTTGAATGCTGGCTAAATTATTTACTGAACAAATCACTCTTGGAAAATTTCCTTTCAGATGTACCATTTCCAAAAACTTTTGTACCTTTGTGTAGAAAAATCTTGACACGCTTGTTTAGAGTTTTTGTCCATGTCTATATACATCATTTTGATCGTATTGTGGCAATAGGAGCTGTAAGTCTACTATTTCTACATATTCGATCCAGTGAAATATACAAACTTTTCAAGTGATATTCTTTTGTTTCAGGAAGCACATGTAAACACATGTTACAAACACTTTTACTATTTTGTAACAGAATTCGAATTAATAAATACAAAAGAATTGGAACCATTGGCTGAAATGACTGCCAAAGTTTGTAAGGATACATCACCAACACAGACACCATCACATAATCCTAGATAGTCATGAAAATTAACAAAATATAAGTATGGTAACCAAATAAAAGAGAGATAAATTTCTTGATGTAAGTACAAAGATTAAAGCTCTCTTTCCTTAGTATTTTCTTGGAAAGACATGGAAAACTTGGTTACTAAAATTATTCTCATAATATGTTAGGTAAGGATCACATTAAAAGTTTTACCATGTAACGCTTAAATTCATAATCTAATGCTAATACGGATAATGGACTTCCATTACACTAAGAATAATTTTCCTGTTCTGGAATAATAATTTAGTAATGTATGTCTATGTCTTTCTAATTAATCATATTAAATAGCAAGAAGATAATGCATTTATTGCTCATTCGCGAAATGCTATTTATACTTATTTGAAAACTTGAAGAATTGACAACAGTTTTTCTGAAAGTTTTGTCCACATTTTTGTGGAAGTACAGCCAATAAGTTATTAATTTTGTACTTATGTATTTGAAGATTAAATTTTATCTTCACATATTAGAAATGAAATTATAATTTTGTTTATCACATTTTATAAAAAAAATTCGACATTATTTATATCATCATAAAAACATAAGTGTACATATAATTTTTTGTCTTTTCGATGTTTGCGTAATATGTTAATGCATTACATTAATAACTGTAACAATTTTATATGAAATTAAATATACTGAAACAAGAAAAAAAAAAAAAATACTGTATATTATGTGAAAGAGTACAAATATCTGAAGAAATAAAACAGAAGATCTGTTTAAACCATAAAAATTTGTTCACTATGTGTTATTAACTAAATAATAAAAAATAACGAAAATTATTAATAACTTAAAATAAATCTTTAAAATAATTTTACTCTTTAAATATGAGTTTTCTTTCCTTTCCTAGTTATGAATTACGAGATAAATTTTTTGTAGGTAATTTTAGTTTTTTATTTAAGCCTGATAGTACATGTTCGGCAAAAGACTAATCGTCGAACAGATATTAAAATGAAACTACAACGTGCGTTTGAAATATATATGTATGAACTTTCATTACATGTTTCAAACCAGACAATAAATATTATGGATAAATGTTAACAGTAATTAATATTTACGAAAAACAGTTTATGTATTTGTAGTCTCAATTTAATACAAATTTTTTTCACTAAAAATGATGTCGGTGACTCGTTTTAAATTCTATTGAAGGAATTTGTTTAGAGTCGTATTCTGTACATGCCACTTCGAATTACGTTGTAATCGGGCAAGTTCTCAACTGGTCCAATAGCTGCAATTACTGGACACTGATCGTAAATATATTTCATGCCAACGTCATGAATATTCTTGGCCGTTACGCTCTGCAAAAAATTTTTTGTTAATAAAAATTGTATGAGAAATAGTTCATCAAGTATTACTTACATCTATCCTGGCCTCCAGTTCGTGAAGGGGTATACGTCGGTTATAACAGAGTATCTGTCGACCAACGTCTTCGCATATTGCGGTTGTTCCATCTAACTGAAGGAGCATATTTGTTTTAAGAATGTTCTTTGCGCGTTCTACCTCTCTTTCTGTGACGGATATACATAATCTCATCCATTCAGTTTGGATGTTGAATACAAAGTCTTCACATGTCATGGGATCGCATACAAAGTATATACCCCAAAGACCAGTATCCTAAACCAAGAATCAGTTACAAAAGTTCACTTTATAACGATACATATCTATGAGAGTAATATGTACTTTGTAGCAAGTGTTAAAGCTTTGGTAACTATGGCAAAATCCTGCGACTGCACCAGCCTGAGCCAAATGATTTGCACTATTTGTACCTCCTCCCTGGCTGCGGTCCCAGGCTCCCATAAGAGTATTTGCAACCATAAGAGGAATGTTGTCTGCATCAGCCCACCCAGCACCTACAAAAAATGTCCATTAGTCATTAAAATCTATTGAAAGAAATTTAGACGAATAATTCATGTAGTACCTTCTACAGCAATGGCTATGTGTGCAAGAGGAATTGTGTCATCACGAACTCTGATTTCAGAGCCAGTATAACGACAGGGTACATTAAGAAGAGGAATTTCATCATAGAATGGTCCTTTCATTTGACCAAAATATTTCTCAGCCAATTGTACCAGGGCATTGTGGTCTACACCACCGGCACCTGCTAGAACAAATCTAGGAAATAAAGATTTCACATAATTAATGATACAGGTGTAACAGAAATGGTTTATGACAATGTACGATTTATAATTACCTACCTTGGGGGGCCATAGTATTGCCGGACATAATTTACAAGATCATTTCGTGTGATACTTTTAATATTTTTAGTGGGACCTAGAATTGTCCTTCCCAATGGTGTACCTTGGTAAGCACTAGCATGTAAGTGATCAAAAACAACTTCTTGGAGATTTGTTTCAACCTCCTGCATTTCTCGTAAGATGACACCACGTTCCCTTTCAATTTCATTTTCACCAAGCTTTGAATTTTGAATGATATCGCTCAGTATTTCTACAGCTTTTGGTACATCTTGCGACAAACATTTAGCATAAAATACTGTTTGTTCCCTGCTTGTATAAGCATTCAAGTGAGCACCCATGTTTTCAATTTCCAATTCTAAATCAGTTTGCGAACGTTTAGTAGTTCCCTGTTAATAATTCTGACTTCAGTTAAGACTTCTAGAATGTTTTATTAGATCGGGATTTGGGCAGACATTGTGTACCTTAAAAGCCATGTGCTCCATGAAGTGTGCTACACCATTGTTTTCATCAGTTTCAAAGCGACTACCAGCATCAATCCAAAGCCCTACTGTGGCTGTTGGAGCACCGCTGTCTTCACTTGCAATTTTCATACCACAATCCAGAGTTGTAACTCTTGTTGCAGGTTGATTGATAAGCATCTCTTTTATGGATGGTGCTGTAGAACGCCATTGCTTTTGAGTCTGTAAAATAACATGAAAATGAGAAATTAATGTACATTTGTATCACAGTAAAGCTCCCCTTAACGCACGAACGTCGGGTCCGCTTCGGAGTTGTTATGGGGCCAAGTAGATGCTTTATGTGTGTCATAAAATTCGGATCGAGCCGCGGTAGCGTGCCTTTGTATTTTGGCGGCAGCAAAGGTCGTAGAAAAGGACAGCAAGTAAAAACGAAAAGGTGGTTTGAACGTCAAGTCAGCCGAGAAATATTTAAATGCCTGTATGTCACTTTGAGGGATCTTCCAATAGTGGGGATGAAGCAGAAATTTTTAAGGGACCAACTTGGCTGACCGTTTAAGGAGCCATTACTATAATTCGTTTCCTACATGGATTTGGTAGAACTATCTTTTGAAGCTTATGAAACCTGCTTAACTGATTAATCAGTTGTATCTGTCAAGTTTTCAAATTCATAGGCAACGCACCACCGTCTGAAGTAGCCTAAACATATTGAGGTTATGCTAGATTGACACAAGTATTCGAATGTACATCACAGAATTCAGTTCGTTAAGGCCCATTTGTTGTCAGTTAAACAATATTTCATTATTTCTCTTTTGTTTTTACAGCGATACAAAACTTTGTTCTCATTACGTAAGGAGCAAATGGTGTCGGAGAATTTTCTTCTTGATAAAACGATCTCGATTTGAATGTAGATTTCAACGATCCATTGCAAGTTATTTTAATAATAATAAGGGAATGACAAAATAGTACTTTTGTTACCTTAACGAGGCTGGTTTTATTAGTATAAGTCCGCAATGCGGAACTAACTTTAAGCAGACGAGTCGCCATTTTTTCGATTCCTCGCAACTGGCCCGACCTGGCCCGACCTTACGACGAAGATAGGTAGCGGCTACAACTGAACTCAGAAGAGGACACTCCTTGTAATAGGTATATAGTTATAGGTATAAACAATTTTAATTTTTCGATTGATAGCAGGAATTACATGTAAAAATCATAACAGAGTACAGTAAATTTTAATATGATGTAGAATTAATATAGAATTGATACTTTTAAAATGAAATAATCTGAGATAAATTATTATTAACTATAACGTTAATTCGTTACACAATGTTTCTATAGGGAATTTCTTTCATTTTAGGAATATTTATTATTCTGCTATCTGCACCACTGTTAAATTCGAAAATCAGACCGGCATTGTCGTGATCACGTGATTACGGTGTTGTGAACGATATTGTTGTCAATTGTTGTGGAATAGCGATCACTTGCGAAAGATTTACTCAGTATCCTTGGACTGTTAGAGTCGTTTAAATCCTTGAAGTAAATCATATTTCATTTTAAAGGTAATGAAGGCTCATGAGATGGATATCGACAGTTCAATAACCTTAGCACCTCACGAAGTCCGTGATATAATGGCTGCATCTGAAAAAAATGAACTTACTTTGAGGGAAATGATGGATGACAGCAGCGCAACCGGCATGATTTTAAAAGCGAAGGAGCCGTGGAGAGATGTCATGTCTAAACTGTATTATGATTATCTACATAGTATACAAATGAATTTTTCAGAGGCACAGGTTTTTGACACTGTTGCAGATTTCATACAGAATTGCGCAGACACTTTAGACTTAATGAGAGGTATGAACAAAACTGTTGTTAATGGAATAAATATAGTAATTTTCTTGAGGTTTGGTCGTGGGTCTTTTTAAGCAATACTTGTGCTAGGAACAATCTCCCAAACATATCTTCCATTATTGAAAAATGATCTATTACCTGTAGGACTGACAATTGATGGACTCGAGCTAGACATTTTTATATTATTATCTGTCAATACTTTATTTTAATTATTCTTTTAGTTTATACATAAAATCTTTAATTTAATTTTACATGTTTGTGCTAAAGGTATGCAATCAAAAGTGGAAACTTATAAAGTGTCGGAAGAAGAAGTATCTTTAGAGAATGAAAGGAACACATGGAGGCTTGTTTATTGTTTATATCAAAACCGATTGAACAGCGTTAACTTTTCCACTCCAATGGAAGATGATACAAATGAAATTGGTTCTTGCATATCTGAAAAAATTATAATAGAAAATTTATTCAAAACTGAAAGTTATATCAGAGAGTATCAGTTAATAATTGATTGGTTGGAAAAGAATGCATTAGATCAAGCAGACAAGTGTCCATCGACTGAATATTTCACTGATAAAACTCTTGCATGGGAGAACACAGTTCAACAATTGCTTACTTATAAAGACAAAAAGTCAATTCCATTTCGTTCAACTAGACCACTGGTGTCATCTCTTGATCCTGATGCTCCAATTAGAGAAGGTAAACCTCTACACGATTTGGACAGGGAAGATGATGCAAGGCTTGAAAAAAGAATGTTCATAGAGGTAACAGGTTTTTGAATGAAAAATGAAACAAAACAGGAAACGAAAATTAAATAGGGAAGTTTTATAGGGTAATATAACGTACAGAGTGTATTTTATTTAACAGGTACGCTGCGGTCGGCTTACTAAAGCGCAAGCACTGGCTGAACACTGTGGACAGCCTTGGAGGGCTGCTTGTTTACTAGGCTGGATACCTCATCATGATCCTAATTATAAAAATCCATTATCTGACACTAAATTATCCATTGAGGGAAATCCTAATAGAAGTCTTTGGAAATTATGTGCATGGGAACTTTGTCAAGATAAGCGCGTAGGTAATAGTGTTCTCTTCTTCATAGAAGTAATTACATGAAGAAATATCAAGAAGAGGCACCTTTATGTCCAATACTCTACACTTAACTGCTAATTTTTAACTGACAGTAACCATCTATAGGATTTCTCAACTTACATTTAATTATGGAAATAGTAATTTTGTGAAAAAGATTTAAACATCATTGTAAAATGAAATTCATGGACATGAGATTGTGCATAGAGATATTTTTAATTAGTGCTTTTCTATTATAAAATACGAATAGCTTCTCTTAATCAGAATATTTCAATTTAGGTCAGTTTTATCGCGCCATTTATGCCAGTCTTTGTGGAAATGTTCAACAAATGCTGCAGATAGCGTGTTCTTGGCAGGATGCATTGTGGGCTTATATAAAAACTTTACTGGACATTAAAGTCGAAAGAGAGGTGAGAGATCTGGTAATTAAAAGCTTCACGGATATGCCTGAGGATTATTGGAAGAACGAGATATCTCTGGAAGACGTCTTTACAGAGCTCCACGCAGCCAAAAATCCTATTATTCGCTCTCAATCCAATAAGCCAGATCATTTGATTCAAAAATATTTGATACTCGATCAAATACCTAAATTAATGGAGGAAATAGAGAATATGATAGATATGAGGGTCTGTGATCCTCATTTCTTACGGTTTTTAGCTCATCTGATATTCTTTTTCCGACAAATCGGAAAGAATGTAAACGACAAAGTTGGAGATAAAGTATTAATGGCATACGTCGACGTTCTGATCGACATGGATGATCCGATTTTAATCGCTTTCTATACGGCCATGTTGCCTCGGGAGTCCCAAGTCACCACTTACGCAAGCTACTTGGAGAATATAAAGGATTATGAACAGCGTAAGAAATGCCTGACTGCAGCAGAGGACGCGAATTTGAACGTGGAAGCGATAACAAAGTTAGTGGTAGAACGTATACGCTTCAAGAACGTGGACATTGATTCTGCGGACTTGAAAGGCACGATAACCGATGCCGATCTAGAGAAAATTAATGCGTTAGACTGGCTAATATTTTATCAAAGTCAACGGGAAGAAGCGTTATGGCAAACTAATGCTCTTATAAGATACTTTTTAACAAGTGAAAAGATTGATGCTGCACGAAAAGCATTTAACAAGGTATACTAATACGGAGATTCACATTATTTGGGCTGAATTAGTACAATAATATTTAAAATACTATTAGAAACATAAGATTCACAGCCATACAAATTATGTCGAATAATCTAGTTGAATAGATTCTCAGTCTGTCAGTGATCAGTAACTTTTTTTATTTTGAGCATGCTTTATTTGTTAATTTTTGTTTTTGTTTTTTTTGTTAGATTCCAGCAGATTCGATTGAATCTGTCATGTCTGAATATCCAACAATGGATGGCACCATAACGAATCTTACGATTATGAATAATTTATCGAAAAGAGCAGCTTTAGCTATTCGAGAGTACCTTTGTTATAAAACTTATCTTGACGCCCAAGAGGGTTTTGCTGAGTGGTTTTCTCATTATCATCATGGGAAACCCACTCCTTTAAAAGAATTACCTCCATACGCCACTTTCACCGAGAAGGTTGCACATGAACATAAACAAGCACAGTATAATACAGAAATGGAGAGGTGGAAATGCACGATGCAACATCATACCAAGGTTTGTGCAATAAAACTGCAATAAAAAATGAAAGGAATAGTTCATGAAATGAAAAAAAAATATTAACTAATGCTCTCCTTACAGGCAGTTAAACAATTACTTTTCAACGTACTGTTGTTTCCTGATGGTGGTTGGCTCGTTGATTCGAATAATAACGACGACGAATCGTGTACACCGGAAGAAGAAGCGCGAGAACACGAAATGGAAAAGTTACGGCAGCTTTGTATCTCAAAAATTACCCTTCTTCTGCATTCGGTGATGTCCGAAATGAACGAGCACGCCAACTGCATTCAGTTGGCGGATATTCTTGCCTCGGAGCAGTATCAACTTTACAACGTAATTATTTACAATTTGTTTACTAATTGAACCAATGAACACGTTACAAAAGAAAATTAACATTTATATTTGCTTCAGGTGTTCCAGAAGAGTAGGTTACGTGAAATATTTAAGAAAATCTGTGAATCTTCACTTGTTTTAATGGATCAAAAGAAAGATCCTTGGGGTTACCCGAAGTGAACCTTGTAGAGAAATCATAGACGATAATTGAGAAGAGTACCGTGAAAGAAGGTTTGGATTTCTGTGACAACATTATCCGCGGTTACCGCTGGTGGTTTTCACCGATCCGTATCTTCCTGTAATTTAATTGTATATGTAATAATGCGAGTCTGTTGTTCGCGGCTCGAATCGTCGAAAGCATCCTGTACAAAACCGCCACTATTTTTTTCTTTTTTATAAAACCAGTTTATTGTCAACCACAAGAAGTGAATATAAAATTTGATACAATGTTCAATAATTCATAATCATAATATATTATATACTTCATGTTTACTCAGATGCTCCTTTTTACCCAATTATTAATAAACGGTAGCGCCTGTCAAAGCTTGTAGATTAAACGCGTGGAAATATTTGCGGAGAAAGAAAAACTCAGGGGGCAATGAACAAGTACAATTTATCCTGAGACATCGTTCCCATTGGAGAATAATTAATTCATGTCGTGACTCCACGATTTTCTAAGAGCGACCGTTTTACTAAATTTCTTACCATTAGTACATAGTTATCCTTCGGACGTGGATCTGCAAACAACGGATAAACGCGTACAAACACGACTCGTGTGGAATTGAAACGTAACGTCTTCACTTTCCTCAAATGATCCTTGTACGCGTTTAAAGGAAATCATGATAGACGAAGAATAAAGGTATTCGTGATGCGTGGCGTACATTGAAGTTTTACCGAACAGAGCCGCTCTTGGATAATGGTGATGCGGGGTCTTCTTTCCTTGTGATTTCAAAAGGTTCGCAACTTTAAGATACAAGGTGGACATTTTCTTATCGATATAAAATGATTCCAAAATATAAAGAACTGCGATCAGATTAAACGAAGATCATTAAACTTACAATCTGCGGGGTTCTTACGAAAATACGCTTGCAAATAATTTTTACTTTAATTGTAGGACATTATACTGACTCTCCACATTCGTCTTTGAAAGTTTTAAATGTTCACGTACAAGACCCCGGCAACGTTTGCCCGAAGAACGTCTCCGTTCCTAAGAATCTATTTTCCCGAGGATCAATGATTTACTTTTGCCAGCGAGAGCAGTCTTTTTTTTTTTTATATTCTTTTCCCGTTATATTATATATTTATACTTCGTACTGTATCTTCGAGTTTCATTATGTACAGAATATGCGTGTTCGTTTTCTCGTTTCTGTGTGTCCCGGAGAGGATAGATCAACGCTACACAAGTGAACTCGCTTAATTATTTCGCACTGTTACTCTGCGTATAGACTATATATCAAGAAAATTAACGCGGTTTGTGGAACTGCGTTCGTTCCGTTCTTGTGTGAAAACATAAAGAAAACTGCTAACTGGAATTCACGACGTTCACATGCTCTCCTTCGTTCAGTCGATCAATCCATTACGTTCAGTCGATTTCGTCTCGATATCTCGGTTTAAGATCAATTCACGAACACATCATAACCATAGAAAAAAAAACACACTTCAGAATAATTGGAACAGAAATTTTCTACAGAACGTTCGCCGGAATCTGACGTTCTCATTACAGGGATCCTACTTCAATTGGAATTTAACGACTCATCATCGAAAATCATCGAACAAAAATACCATCGGGATATATCTTATTAAGAACTTGGAAAAGCAACTGAAATCTGATTATTTACTCGCTGATTTAGATCTCGACAATTTGTAGTGAAATGTAACTGTTCTAGATTTAACGACAAGGGGATGCATTATGTTTCGCCGGATCTTTCGACTCATTTTAATCCAACTACAATGCTGTGTGATGCTTTTTAATACAGAAGCCTCGCAGCTCGTTGAATCGATGAAATTTAATATGGATGATTCGAATGAAATGATGTCTATAGCACCCGTGACGAGGAGAATAAAAGATTGTTATGAGAAACTGTACGTATATCCGGTTCTAGGGTAGGAGATTCTACTTGTAGCTTCATGAAATAAGTTTCCTTAACATATATCTCATGTACGGTAATACGTATCACGATCGAGATGCACGATCCCATAACGTGGAATCGATTTGGGGGAAGATCGTTGTTCGAGAAACAGAAAGATGGAGAAATGGAAAAAGGACGACATTTGCAACATCATATACACATATACGTGACTCAAAAACGTGCCATGCTGCACCGATCATCGCGTAATTCAAACTCGTATACATCTTTGTATGCAGTTCGGTGGGTTAACGATCCTGCCGAGCGATCGATAGATCCGTGACACGCGCGAGCATACGATCCGACGAGGGGGGTGGAACGTTCCTTTCGGTGACATTCCAATACTCCAAAGTCCGTGTACATGTAACTATTACAACGCTATCCACTTTACCGAAAGTATATTTTACTTTCTCTTTGAAATTAATCAAGTACCATACAGTTGATAGAATAAGTAGAAAGTGGTGGACGTTCGCTGTTCGCGCGTGTCTCGCTCGAGCCAGGAAAACACGAGGAGGATCTTCGACAATTGAGACGCGTGTTGGCTTTACAAGTAACACGAGTACACGATTAATAGAATTACTTTTGTTGATTAACCTAGTCTAACACGTAAACGTTGAAAAAAACGGTTGACAATTGTTTAACCACTCTCGATAATGCTACGATTTTATTTTTTACTTTTCTCTTTCGATCCGCGAGAGCTCGATAAATTTCCCTAAAACTTACACACACCCCTTCCTACATGTGATTTTCTCACACAGACACACTTTCGCTTTCTCCGACCGATACGTTCGTTCCGTAGCGATTCGTTAATTTCTCTTATTCTTTTTTTACTTGTTACCTTCTTTTTTTTGTTTGTTATCGTTTCTTCGGTAATTCACCGACTAACTTTTATTCTCTACGTGGATATTCTAATCGCTAACGGGCGCGCGTTAGCGTGTTCGAAAACGACTTATCTACGAATATTTTGGAAATGGTTCTTCATTGGACTTCTTCCCCTTCGGCTCCTCGCACTCGTGGTCTGATCGTCGCGGGGCTATACTACTTTGCCTCGATTGAATTCGAACCGCCTCGCGAACTGTGACACGAAATTGCAGTCACTTGGAACTGCGGTAGAAACAGTTTCCACAATTAATAACTCTTGCGTAAGTGTCCAGCTCCTTCCCTGGATCTACTTTCCATCTTGTTCCGATCCACATTACTCATGTTAACACGATCTCCAAGAACATGACCAGGCTTAACATCATGTTTGTCCAGCGATGTCTGTTAAAAATATATATTCGACACTTTTAACGCAACTCAGGACGGCCTATCGTAACGAATAAGTACTTATCGTATCGTTTTTGTACATGGTTTCACTTTCGGGAGTTTCTGTCCGCCATATCGACATCGCTGGAGCTCAATTGTCGATTCTTTTTTTTTCGACCCTTTAGCCACACACTTTGATTCTGACATTCCGTTACATCGACGAATGCTGTATAAAAAACGTTCGGTTCGTTTCTCAAGTCTGTTTGACCGTGTTTCAGCCGTTCGTTTCACGCAAAAGACCACCAGATGGATACTGATTATAGGGCAACAGGTATCGAAAGATCAAGTTCATCAGAACGTCGATCTAGTGAAATGGTCTGGCTCAGAGGGTAAATAAAGCGCGAAACGGGGAAGATAATCCACGGGCCTCCACGAGTGCAAAGAGCAGAAGCACCAATACAATTAACTCCACATTGTTTTCTCTCTCTCCCGCTTCCCCTACGCCGTATTCTTGAAGTGTGAAAATATATTCTACCACGAGGACAAGATTCAGAAAGATATACCAGTTTTAAAAGTCTCCGAGTATCTTCTACGGTATATCGTTGAAACGAGAAGACCATTCGTCGGTTACATGCATATTGACAGTGTTATTACAAATCCGTTCGAATTGATCGGCACACACCCTTTAAAAACATCGTTCCGTTCGTTCGCATCCCAGACTAACCCTCACAGGTGCCTGGATCCATAGGGACACGACTTTTTGAAAGCTCCATCGAACACGTCAACCTATGAATCGTATTTAAGCTAGGAGTTCGTCGCATTAAGTTATATAAAAGAGTGGGTCCTCTTGAATGGATTGATAAAATAATGTTTAAAAGGTAAAAGGTATTAGGGGATTCCAAACGGACCCAAGCACCGCTACTGTACGAACATTAACAGTGGAACTAGTGAAGATAAACGCATTTTCATTTCGATCGGTCGATAAACGTGACAAACTATTGAAAATTTATAAATTGACCGATTTCTTCAGAAAGTTGCAACGGATCTGAGATACGTAACATTTTAATCATCGTTATAAGAATGTACTGACCAGTCATTTTGACTTGTTTAGCAGTTCCAGTGTTAAAAACGTCCACCTCCCGAGGGTTAATCATCGTACACAGAGATTTCACGTTCTCTGTTTTTCATACAACAACCCTGCGCGGTTCTCTCCACTCGCAACGATAAAAAAATTCGTCCGTCTACGAACGATACACGACAAACCGTCGCCCGTCTCGTTGGATTTCCCCGAAGTACACCCTCGGACGGCCTTTCGGGGGAGTCGGTGAAATCAGAAACACGTACGCCGATCTCGAGGACGCGCGACACACCCCGGTTAAAATGATACTGTTACCGCATAAATCGGATCCGAAAGGGTCCTCGTTGCTGTTCGCATCGAACCGAGACCACCGAACGTTCCGTGTCCGAGGCTTAAACGTTAGGGATATGTTCGACAGGGATATGTCTGTATCAACGACGACGAAAATTATATGAATGGAAAAAAGGTAAAGGTATATACTCGAGACGATCGTAGCTCCGATTCTCAACGTTGACGGCGCTCGGTAGCCTCTGGAAGCCTCGAACGAGATCGACCGGTGAAATCTGTAGCGGAGACGGGCTCTCGTCTGTTACTCTTATCTAAAAGTAAAAGTTCCGACGTACATATGTACCTAACATTTTTGAGCGGATACAACTTATCTAAGCAACCTCAATCAATACGAGTCGAGTCGACAGACTTTTTTCCGATAACATCTTATAAAAAATCTGGCAATACTGTGCTCAAGGAGGATCGTTCTTACGTGGATATTTAGACAGACTTTCTCTCTTTTTCTCTCTCTCTCTCTCTCTCTCCTCGCTCCTCGTGTCTATCCGTACGTTCCACTGCAGTTCCGCGCGAGAAATCGGGCGTGTATTATACACGGAAGAAAAGTTACACGAGCAGACGACTGTCTGGACCTTACCTACGATACGAGACACAAAATTATTGTAAAACTTCTTTAATCCGCCTAAAGTGTGGCTAACGATTCGAAAGTCACGCTCGACAATTGCGCGCCGTGAGGAGGAGTTTCTGGAGGCCGATCTCGATCGGCTCGATCGTCTCGTCTCTCCCTTCCTTTTTCTTCTGTTAAATTACACGTCGATATAGGGAAAAGAAAGAATCCTTTTTTTTCTCTTCCTTCGCATCGGCTACGCTATTAATTTGCTTCTTAATCGCTAATAACTCGAGGGACACATAGCCGGGCTGCTCCGTGAAAGTTTGAACGATCGGCTTGACGCTTATTATCCTACACAAGATCGAGTGGAAAAAACGTGAGGCAAAGAGAGAAATAGGGAAACAGTAAATAGAAGGGGGACGAGATAAAAAGATACATAATTTTACGTTACTAATCACCTACGGTCCTCGTTTGTTTCGCTTCTGTACACTCATTATTACACATGTAGTAGCTTAACGTGTCGCGGATAGAGACGAGCATGTCGCGATCGAACACACGCCCCGAACTTCATCTTTGTACACATTGCGGCCTCGATTAATTGATCCGTAACAGAGAATTTCTGTTCGCCTGAACGTTTCGAGACACTTCCATGACGGAACGGGATAACCCGCTGTCCCGTGACTTTCATTATCGTATCATCACATTCGGCCACGCTATTGTCCCGACGTGGGGGCCAATCGTCCCCTGTTTGTACTTAACGGAATTGAATACAGTTATTGTCTGAGTAGTCTAAAAACTGGAAACAGTAAGCCGCATTCGGTGAACATTGTTGAGATTCAATAAGCGAGGTTCTCCTTTAGACCAAAACACGACAGTGACACTCTCGTTTCCAAGTACTGTACTCTCTTTCTTATTTGAGGACCTACGGAGTGACATGTTAACCATGACAGACGTGATATTCAGTGACATCGAGTCGTCGATTCATTTTCCTCCGACATAATAACATGTAAATTAGAGCTTTTTGTACCTACATATACATATAGACAGATCTGTTTTCTCGTACCCTTGTTATACTTTTGAATTTGATCATCGATGCGAGGACCATCACCGCCAATTCGATACTTTCCAATATTTATTACTTTATACTATGACTCGGGTACTCTATACGAGGATCAAATCAAGTCTGAAGGATTCATTTAATAACAGATCGCTCTATGTCTCTCTGTGCCTGGTCCAAAAGAGACCTCTCGCGGTTCTAACCAATACGAGATACGCTTCACCGTCCGAAGACAAAATATATAATTCTTTCCTATCATGCGAATTACCTTTAATATTAGCTGTTAATTATTGTCAGAACAGCTTCGACCTTTACACGTACGATTATTGTCCTAAAAGTGAACTCTCCGAGGGAACGGGACAGTCGAGATGAGATGCTTTCTCTTTGTAAACACCGATCGCATATCCCGACACGCGCGCGTTCGCTCGATTTCCAGGAGCAGCCCTCCGAACATTCAAATCCGGCAAGTATCGGTACTCTTTATTTATTGTCATTCACAGAAGTAGGAGTTTTAATCCGCTTACGTGATAGGACTCCGCCGCGCCATCTCTTTCTCCCTCTCGAAGGACTCACATAGAAAATATAACAGGGCAAAAGAGGACAAGGGGAAGGAGAGGGGGAGGGGAAGGGCCGGTACGGGAGAAAGAATAATGGGAACCGTTAATAACGATATTATACCTACTATGAGACGCGGAAAACTGTTGTAATTACGATCCCTTTGAAGAATTATATACCGTCGAATATCGCCCGGAGAGATTGACTTCCGGACATGATGCGAATACCAAACAAATCGTCCTCGCTTTTGTCGCCTTAATTTACTTATGCTTGTTAGTGTTACGTATCCCCTATTTATACGCTGTTTTTCTTACGCTGCCTCGCACGACAGCTAACGGCAACTGTGACCAGTGTATTCGTCGCTCGCTGGGTCTATTTGAAATTGAAATAAATTGCGATTATTATTTATCATGACGTTACATGAAATGTAATTATTCTGGAAAATATATGAAATGAAATCGGATATTTTATAAATTGGATCTTCATTGATCTGATATTCAATGACCGTGTATATGTTAAGAATAATGATATATTACAGTCATAAAAGCGCATGATATTAATCTCTATTATTGAAATATTTCCTGTGTTAAAAATAAATGGAAAAATTGAAAAGAAGCGAAAGATATAAAAATACAAAGTTAACGAGTTCTATAAGCACCTTATGATTTCTTGAATAATTATAGTCTCTGGATGCCTCTGTGGCTGATTGTACATAAAACAAAATGATAGCAAGCGACGAATACAACGTGTACACCGGCGACAGTTATATGACGTAAATTTTCCAAGTTCTTTCCCCTTTATAATGTCTACACGTACCTCATGTTTATGCGTGTGTGTGTTTAATATATGTATATATGTATAATTATATGTATGTAATGTATATGTTATGTATGTATGCATATGTAGTTAAATACAGACTGGTCTTCGTGCGTTAAGCAATCGGAATTGCAAAGAATCTTTTTCGCTGCTGATAATTTTGAGGACACCCCGTTACTTAGAATCTGGACACACGAAAGCTTTGAAACGTGATCTCAAGAGTGAGATCCATATTATGTCGATCTCCGCCTCTCTAGACTGATTATGTATTTCTCTGATTTCTTGGTTGCACGTCTATCATTCCTTGCGCGTATCGCGCTTGTTGTCGACTTTCCTGTTTCCTCCAATAAATTTTGTCACAGGTAAGTTTTCTCGATTTCTCTAACCTTTAACAATCTCTTTATACATTACAATAGTTAATGTTTCTCCACATTGACAGTCACCAAAAAGGGTATCTAGACCGCGGAGAAAACTAGAAGTTTTATGCAGATAAAAAATTTCAAACAATGAACGAACCATGAAATCGTGACCAAATTTTGATTATGAAATAATATTATCCCATCTATACCAATTTTATTAGATTCAGCTTCTTTGATTCTAGATTCACAATAATAGATATACACACACTTTTCAAAGAAGTGTACGATGCTACTTTTATTTTCTATCGTATTTTTTTAAATTTCAAAACGCGGTCAACGCGCAAGAAACCAGTTCCTAAGTACTACAGGGGCATCTCCTGTCCGAGTGGTTCCTAATTCGTGTAATTAAACAAGTTTCATTATCTGTACCCAAGGCACATTTTATACTTTCATTCCGTTTTAGGAAGGTCCACTCTATAGTATGTACATATTATAGCATTGTTACACGTACAAGAGGGATAGTTTGCAACTGTATCACCCTTAATTCCATATAATGTCCCGACGTTTCACCATTGTACATGATTTCCCGTTTCGTTATTCAGCGCGATTCCTTTTTTCATCGTCCTCTCGCTACCCTACGTATTATTGTCAAGTCGACAGCATTTATATAAATGTATACCTTACGTGCTACTCGGTTTTTTTTAAAGTTACGTTATACTTGACTATAGCTTTGTGCAAAATTTACATTGTACATCGCGTACCACCGATGCGTTGTGTTATCAACTTTCAATTCGGTATTCGTGCATCGATCGTACGATTCCTTTTCACCACGATTCGTATCGTTGATCGCGATCGACCACCCTACCCCCCCATTTGAACAACATTCGTTTCGCGTTTATTGTCAGAATTTCCACGTTTAGCCCCCCCTGTTCTTGATTCAATTATTGTCAGAAATCTTTCGACCGTTTCACGTTATCGTTCGCTCTAAGTAGTTTCCTTTAGATCCTTAAACTATTAAAAATCACTTGGAATTCTCGTTCACCTGGTGTGCCTTAAGTATGCGTACTTGTATTTATGTATATATAATATATATATATATATATATATAGATTTATATATATATTTGTATATATATATATGTACGTATAAATATACATATACATATATTCGTAGAATATGAAATATTGAATCTGATAGATCTTAAAAATATTCTGCTAATCTCCTTACGTTTAGATTTAAACCTTACGTGTCTAAGTACTTTCTTACAACCTTGTATCGTGTATCAGCCGAGCCTGATAATCGTGTCTTGCGGTTTTTCCTCTTTTGTTTTGTTTTTTTTTTATGTTTTGTTATTTTCTGTTATCACCATCGTTACGTTAGGCGAGCCGGTATTACACCCCCCCCCCTCGTCGATCCACTCTCCCATTTTCGTTTCACCAATTTCAGCCTCTCTTCTCGCATGTTTTCTCTGTCTCGCGGCCGGGCGATCATTAGAGAATTCATCTCGAGAGCTTCAATAGACCAACGACCAACGTTGCCACCATCGACATAATCGGTACGGTTGTGTGCGCATCGCTAACAACGTTTATTTTCCAGCCCATGTTTCTGTGCGAGTAACACTGCGAAAAGAAAAGATCAACATTAAACCGTTGCCACCCATCGACCCGATATCATATTAGCTTACAAAAGTACAGTTTCGTCTGCGGTTGGATTGCCCTAAAGCAGCGAATTTTCAATCGATTTCATAGTAATTTTTGTTTTTCCGATGGACCACATCCCGTGTCGACATACTGTTCTGTTTGTCTGGGTGAAGTAAGGTCCAAGTATTTCAATATAAATATGGGGTGAATGAACTACTTGTACCTTGATAATAAGATACTTTTTGTTGATAAATTCTGTTTTAAATCGTAAATAATTAGGTCGATAATGTAATGCTCAGTAACAGTAGAGTATTATACAAAAAACACCCCAGTACCGCCCCAGCACTCTTCTATTATTTCTTTTCTGTCTGTGCCTATAAAAGCTATTCCATTGGCTCTACTTCTCTGAATCGCCTTGGGCATCAGGTAGAAAAACCATTAAACAAACACCTAAATCGGAAACTGGTAGACTAATATTTGCCAGGGCATTGAATTTAATTCGTGCCCAGTTCCTAGACCAAATCCATACCTGATAGTACACCGTGTCCGGTGTGTCTTCGGCAACGGTCCAGACAAGTTCGGCCGGTTCACCTTTGTCGCATTCGAGTCGAAGGGTTTCAAAGAAGTTCTCGAACGTCTCCATGTCCTTGCTCATGTCTACCGTCTTGTGGACCCATTCGCAGTAACGACCTGCCGCGGTCGGGTATGGATACCCTTCAGCGTCGTACTTCACACCGGCGAATACTCTCTGCGTCATCTGCTGGTCCTCGTCCCTCTTCTCGTCGAATCCACCCTCGATACTGTCTGTGATGTAGAACGGGTGGTATCTGCACAAGCGAGGACATAATTAAAGTTCCAAAGTCTTGAGGTGTTAATAATATAATATAATAATACAAATATTAAATATAAATTGTACGGGGAAATTAGTAGGTATCGAAACAACGTGGGAAGGGCGAGACCAAGTGTGCCCATACGTCTTGTGTAATTATCGAATATCGAAGCCATACGCTTTGATAGTTCTGCTGGTTCATGATAGTTCCGAGAGCTGTTAATAGTTTGAAATTTCAACTCGCCTGGCCAGATTAGTGGGATCGTTTCCACCCTCCACGATGAATGTGTATGTCTGTCCCCTCTCGACGGTGATTTCTGGGATCAGCATGTCGTTGATGTACCATGAGATGCCCCAGGAAGATAGACCTACGACATATTTATTAACGCTTAAAAGTTGAACACTTTGATTTTTTGATTTTTTGATTTTCGAATTCAGGAGAATCTTGTTGAATCCACGTTTTGGAAGTATTTTTTCTACGGGAGGTTCTTGTTCATGGATAATCTGAGGACTTTTAACCCAATCGCGTCATACTTAAGTGTAAACCTGCAGAGCTGAACGAGGAATCATGTTTAACACTTTGACTGCAAGGGGGGAGAAGCCGTACATGGCCAGACATGCCTTACTTCGTTTTTTTAAGACAAATCATCAAAAATATATGCGTTTAGCTAATGGAAGCTGCTGGTCTTGTTTTAAATTCTATACTGCTATATTAATTTTGGGAAACAAATTTTGTAACAGTATTTCTATAATCCAACCTGTTTACAATGTATGTGTCACTCGTATTTGGACAGACAAAGTGTTAAATACTCTTATTGTTAGTATGATTGTTGCCTTAGCCCATTAGCTGAGGTCATATGATTTCTATTATATCGTATGTACAATACGCCATAACAAATTCGTGCGACTACTGATCGTCATATGACGCGAATTAGTTAATCGAGGGAGGATCTGTCGGCGCGATCGTTACCGGTGATCCTCGAGTAACCCCTTTCTCCACCGGTGGGTCCGATCCTCGCGCTGAAGGTCGTCTCATTGGTGATGACCATTGGCGGCCAGGCCTTCAGGTTAGGCTTGTCCGGCAGGTCGTAGAGAGAATTCGTGCATTCGTGGACGTTCTTCGACGTGAAATCGATACGAATATCGTCGGTCGTCTTGTCGGAGCCCTCGTGTGCATTGGCCTCTCCTCGCCGGTTTAGCAGTCCTATCGCCGCGATCACGCTGGTTTCCGTGTCCGGAATCATTCGGTCCTTCTCTGGTTCGTTGGTTCTCATGGGTCTTGTGTAGGTAACTGAAATACATACGCAATTATCATCTCAAAATCATCTTAAAATTTACAATCATAATGAAAGAGAAAAGTTTTCATCTCACAAAGATCTGTTAACGTTCGGTCAAACGCATAGGTCACGAAAGGACCTGAAAGACTCAAGGTTATCTTAATATTTCAACCATACAAGGTGTAAAAATATCAAATTTTATCCATGCGATGTTTCCCTTAAAATGCTACATAATTCATTAAAACGTTTTCTGATACAATCAACAGGTAACGAGTTATTTTAGATAGTAGTTCTTATTGGCTCTTCCTGTCTAATCAGAAGAAAAAAACGGTGCCAAGCTTGTATCCAAGCTTCGAGATTCTCGTCTACAAAGCATCGATCGTATTCCTCGTCATTTCACGGTGCCTACCTGTCGTCACTCCGTTCTTCCTCTCCCCGTGCACAAGGACAGCGTCGTTCTTCCCTCCGATCCTCTCGTCCGGGCACACGCCCGTCCTGCCGTTGCATTGCGCGTACTCGGACATATAGTAGTCGTCCGCGATGAATTTCCCCGTCTTGCTGTTGTAACCGATCACGACCACGTCACCGCCGATCATCTCTGCCTTTCCCTCCCGTCCAGACAAACCGAAAGCGACGTATTGGTCCTCCCGTATACGTGCCGACACACGTATATGTATGTCCTCGTCGATCATCTCCCATTGTACCTGTACTTGGCCGTCGAGCATCTCCTTGCAGTTGGTCAGCTCGTGTTTGGCGAACGGGGACGGTGGTGGTTTGCTGCTCGTCTGAAAAGGAACGAGACGACTCCGTCGTTTAGACAAGATTATCGGCTGGCCGTCCACCGATAAACGTGGATCGTGGGATTACGATTAATAATCAAGATTGGATAATTAAAATGCGGGTAATGTTCGTTAATTCGAATGGAGCTAGTTTGCGTGTACACGTTTGCGTTACTTACAGGATCGTACCACCATGGCGGCTATCCCCGGTAAAATTATATGCGATTAATTCAATTTCGTTGCTTGAGAGAAAAAGACAGTGGTGTTCGATTAAAGGTTTTTTGTTGTTTGTTTTTCTTTTTTTTTTTTTTTTGGATCGTGTCATTCACTGTTAAATACTTGGAAAATCAGATGAGCACGAGAGCGATGAAATTCGGGCGTGCGTTTTTTTTTGAATGTGTTTTTTTTCCGATGGGTGTTCTCAGTTACCGTGATTTTGGTCTGACCGAGGGCGGGTGGCACGTCGAGGTCCTTCGGGATGAAAACATGCCCGAAATTGTGCTTGTACGCGACGCACCACACCGAGAGCCATTCGATGTCGTACACGGTCAGGTTACCGGGCAGCACGATCTCGATGTCGTGACCTTCGTATCCCTTTAGCACGTCCAAACTGAAAAAGTGTGTCGTATTAGATACAGAAATATGTATTAATTCCGAAAGCTGTCGAATTCTCGGCATATTTTGCTGATCGATTTCGAAAAAAAAGAAGGAAAAAATGAACCTGTAAAAAGTTATGTAACGAGGGAAATTACACGAATTTCTCCAAGTATCGAAATCAAGCGTTAGAAAACCGTACGAATATTTGGTCAACCCAATGTATTACCGTCGATGATCGAATGTTATAATTTCTGTCATCGTTGCTTTCGATACAGTCGCAATTTCAAAAGCTGAACTTGTATTGTCTACAGTCTAAAGGAATCGAATCGAGTAAATAACATACACGGTTGGAAAATCTTAATTGGGCACCGAGATTTAATGAGATTCCAGGATGTGCAGATGGCAAACAGTACCTTTTCCTCTCGTTGGGCACTTTGATGCCGAATGGATTCGGCTCGGAGCCGTTCCCGACCCAGAAATAAGCGTCCGGACCGCCCCCGTCGTAATGCAAATTCGGTATGTAGAAAGTTTTGCTATCTAGGATGGTGATGTTCTCGCTGCGAAGCCCGTGCGCCAACCTCGAGAACTGCGGCAGCACTCTGGCTCTCGGTACCTTCAGATTCGGCGGGATCTCGACGTTGGCGAAGCCGACCTGCAAATTAAGGACACACACACGCCATGATCTTCCGAAACGGGCTACTAACAAGGGACGTTCTCAAAGTGAATGGATCATTCCGAGTATGACTCACGTGAATTTTGCCGTATTTGCTTGGTGCTACTTTTAGACTTTAAGAAAGAAACCACCATTTTTATCCTAAGCATCCGTTTTACTTATTCGCTTGGTCCCATAAACAATTCAGCAATGTTTCAGGAAAAGTCAGCGTGTATCACTTCGTGAACATAAATTTCCGTAAGGGGGAAATGTTTTATAATAATTTCGGCAAGATACGTCAGAATGGAGTTTTTATGTCACGTCAATACAAGGTTAGATCTATTACATCCGGTCACAGGTGAAGATTTTCTCCATCGGGTGTCAACGGACCGTGGTTTCCGGGCTTTCGAACGGGGACCGTCTCTCTCATCGACCTGTCTTTCAGAAGACCGCATATTTACACCCTCGCAAGTCAAAAAAGTCGATCTATCATTCCTTACCCCCCTCCCGTCACCCTTCCCCGCTCTGTTGAAACTGACGTACCGATAGGGGGCTGGTTTGAGGTCGTTTATATTCTAAGTTCCGTCAAACGTCTGAATAAGTGAGACGCGAGAAGGGGCGAGAAACGGAGGCGAGTGGGGAGTGGGGGGGGGGAGGGGGGGGGGGGGGGGGGGGGGGGGGGGGGGGGGGGGGGGGGGGGGGGGGGGGTTGAAAATCGGTGAAAGTAAAAAGAAAGATCTCGAGCGGGACCTCGTAAAATCCGAGAAACGGATTCCACCCCTCTATACAGGGTGAGCTACTCCCTAACCCCCGGGGGAGCGTTTTATGGGAGAAAATTCAACATTCGCGACGATTTCTCAACTCATTCCGAAATCCCGGACAAATCTATTCGCTTACGATACAGTTTCATACACCTCCTTCTTCGTCGCTTTCGTTTCCTGGTAGCCGTGCATGTACCATTTTCTCTGTCCTATGATTGATTTAGAATTTTTTCGTATAGAAGAATGTATCGTAGAGATCCTATGGAATATTGTTCTTGTAGAGATCTCGAATATTGTTCAAGTACCGTAATTTGGAGTAATTTTTACTCAAAAGAAAATGACCATTTTCGATTTTGTAACTCTTTTGCAGGTACTTTTGTTTCTACGTGGAATATCCTTTTTCAACTTGATCTAATGATTTGCAGAGCTGTAAAATCGAAAATGGAACAAAGTTACCCCTACTGAGTTGAAGTCAACCCACCCTACAGTACTTGGATAACTTAATTTGTTACGAAAAAAAGAGATCCGCTAGAATATACTGTTTAAGTTGAGAAATCTGATCGTGTCGGATGTGAACGAAGTTTCCTTCCCCTCCCCCCCCCCCCCCGCCCGCCGCCTCCCGGATCGAATCAAGAATTCCATGGAAATAACGTGTGCACGCCGCTGTCGGCCCACCGATTAACTCGCCTATTTTTCTATTGTCTTTTTTATCGGCCCCTGCCCCCGCCCTCGAGTAATGTGTGCCAAGAGTCGAAGATTGAAAGGTCGGTGAATATCTTCGACTTCTTCGATATTCCGCTCAAGGCTATTCTGTATACGTGGCCTGATTCCGGCCATTTCGAGATGTTCTTTGGAACCGGCTCCCAGACTTTTGTCTACAAAAGGAATCGATACAGCCGGATATATACCTTGAGCCAGCGATATGAGTTTGCATATAACAGGGTCCCTTGATTCGTTAAATTATTTGCTTTTCCCTTTCTACCGTTACGAGAAACGCGATTGTAAAATCGACCGGAGACTCGTAGAATTGTCAAAGAAAAATGATTTTCGGAGTATATCCTCAAAATTTGCGCTTGTCTCGTGTGTATCAGAAATCTTGTTAAACAGATAGATACTAACGACAAACAGAAATGATAAAAAATTTCTTGTCCATTTTCCATTGTACAAACATAAGAATATCAACTGGAATAAAATTATGGCTATCAGTGTCACCACAGGAAGAAAAGAATTACATTCACCCTGTAGGCTCGATTTTTAAGCAACGGACACATCGAGTTCACCCGAGGGAGAGAGATCTTGATCGAAATTGTTCTCACGGCTTTCGAATTTAATTTCCCTCCGTCGGGGCGCATTATCCTCGAAGTAGCAATCCGTGAAGACGGATCCCGGGTTAATGTGTTTAAATGCTCGAAGGCGGAGACGTCGGCGGCGGCGGCGGCGGCTTTAGAAATGTTTGTCAACGGGACTTTAGCCCCGGCGGAAGATCGATTAATAATTTTCCGCTAAGTCCGGAAGCTACCGGGCAAGAAAACTTCTTCATTAACCGAAACGGCACGACGCGCTTCAAAGGAAACAGAGCTCGAAGACGTTTCCCTCCACGGAATTAATCTTCCAACGATAGCACCCCGTCTTTCAGTCGGTAAATTAACACTCATCTTTATCTTTTTTTCTTAAAGAGAATCGAATTAACGGCGGGACAGGACGAGTTGGTTTTCCGTTACGAAGGAAAAAGTCGAGCGAACACGAGCGTTGGACACAAAAAACGTTTCAATGAATTATATAGCATTTTAAGGGATGCTATTCGATGGATACAATCAAATTTCATTATACACTATTTTTTTTTAGATATCAAAGTGATCTTGAGTTTTTTCAAGATCAACCCTTTAACGGCTTTTTATCTAGAAGTACTGAAAAAAAAAGTCTTCTAATAGACTACCAGTGAGTAAAGTGTTAAGTATGTATTGGTCACTGATATGTATCTACGTCTAAGATTTAAGTTCCAGGTGGACAAGATCCGTCTGAAACATGAGTTATAAAGTAACACGGTATATCACGCAACTTTCCACGACTACTAAATGAAGAGTCTCCGAGTTCACCGAAGTCATTACGTCGGAGCCACCGAAAGTAGTTTCTACGGTTCCCCTCGAGTTCTCCGCGAGCCGTCGTCGAATGCTAATTCCGTCGTTAATAATAATCATTATCAGCGGGCTGGCGTTCTCCTGGGGGTTCGAAATTTGCACGGGCATTAATCCCATTTCGTTTAAGGGCTCGTCAATCATATCCACCCTCCACGACCGGGTGGGCGCGCGCGCGCGCTCGCTCTCGCTCGATTGTACGCGTGTGTACACGCACACGAATCACGGAGGATCTGGGTACCAATGAACTGGGACTCGAGCTTAATGGTGTTTTAAGTGGGCACGATATACTCAAAATTGGTCCTTCAGCGAGCTAGACGCTCGAGGGTCCGTCTGACAGTTTCCATATTTGGTCCGCCCACGCTGAACGAATTGAATGTCGATCAATTGGTTGTTGTTAAAATAAGGAGCAGAGAAAAAGAAGAATTGTTCGAGTACAGAAGAAGACGTTGCATCGCAAGTAGAGTGAACAAGCAGTACCAATTCTCGATTGCATGTGCTCGAAGTCCCTGTGGGTACTTTAACTATCGTGCAATGTGCGATAAATTGTCGAATTACTATTCCTTGAATTGTAAATGTTAACGTCGCCCACGATCTTCAGCGGAAATACACCTGGTTTCTGTAACCAACGCGATCGGTCGGTTACATTTAATTACCGAAACTCGATACGCGTCCGCTGTGTATTACACAGATTTCGCCCCCAGACGGAGTTTCGTCTGTCCATCTTCCGCGAGATTTTGCAGCAGGCCCCCATTGTCCGTTTCTAGTGTGTCGGTGCGCGCGTCCCTCGGAGGTATCACACGCGTTCCCTGGCTTCCCATTGTTCCTGTACAAAATTACCAACCGCCTGGGCGCGCGCGTGCGCTGGAAAATCTCGACACTTCGACATTAATTACGGAACGAATAACGTGAATGCGTCGATGCTACGGCTGGTGGTTAATTAGCGGCGCTCTATTAGCTCCGCGTGTAAACTTTCGACGTCGGGAGAAAATAGAAATCAAAGGAATCTCGCTTCAAGGTTCGCGCGTAACAAGGTGAACATCGATGAAATTCGTGATTTACAATGGGTGGAAAAATATTATAATAGGGTTTGAAAGAATTGAGTGTGAAGTTATATGATAAATTGAAAGTGGATATCTACAGGTAATCGTATTATCTTTATTGGATTAGAAACTGAACCCTCAAAAACCACACCCTACCTTAGCATACGTAAATACCACACTAGTGCAAATTGGGATTTTGAATTTTTGACGATTAAGAACTTCAAGTTTTTAAATAGCCAAGAAACGATTCCACTAGGAAAAGAAACAGATGATTTTTTGTCGGTTAGATGGAAAGATATATGAATGTGAGGAGATTAATCGCGTTAGAGCAAAATCGTGTTATTCAAGGGTTTCTCCAATTCTCTAATCGTGTCATACGGAGGTTCCATAGTGTAGTGAATATAGGCTGTGAATTTCTCTACGAAAAAAATAGTCGCCCCGAGTTCGATCCAGCGGGGGAGGAAGAGATCGGTTTATAAACCGGGATGCGGTAGTCGCGGAGGGTTCCTCGTCAATTCGATACCTTTGATCTGGTCGTTATACGCCGGTCCAAGTTTCGACCGGATGGGGAGTTACTGGCGGCCCCTAATAGACTGTTTATCTCGTAAGCCCGGATTTAGATTCACATCGGGTTCTATTATTCTACCCGTAACGTCTCTACGTGTGCGCCACGCAACCCTCCCCCGAAATGAATCTCTTCAGACGTAATGTCCTCCACGTGTCAGCGAATAAAAAATAACTCTCTCCTCCAGATCTCAACAGTGGAGAACAAATCTATACCGTACAATTTAATTATTTAGTGATTATACGTGTATAAATCCAGTATGCATACATAACAATTAAGTAAAAATAAAACTGGTAACAGTTAAAGCAACATAGTACATAAGTTTATTGGCTAATATTTCAGCACTATTTTTGTTCGAGACATAACGAAGTACTTTTAACAGTGAGTGTAGTCCACAATGCCTTTTAATGAATCCGATTGTTAATAAGTGTTCTTTTTGTTATTACTTGAGTTATTTTCGAGAAGAGTGATTTCCATGGAAGTGATCGTCGATTTT